GTGTGTTGGCTCAGGAAAGAAGTTTAACAGCCTTGAGTGTGGCTACCTCGGTTCAAGACAGAAGTTTCATCCAGTATGACACATCTACTGCAGCCTCTAGGGAAATGTGTCACGCACAGACAGAATCAGCCAAGCAGAGAGCAGCTCATTGACTCTCTGCCAAATCACGCTGTTAAACAACCAAAAAATTCCCGTGTCTGTCAATCAGTATCCACCAAGGTGGGCAGGTCTCTCGGCTGGAGGACAGGAAGAAGGCATTTCTATTTTCTGCCTGAAAGGCAGCTAAATCGTAGGCTGTCACAGTGACTCTGCTCTCGTAGTGACAGAGCGTTATCTGAGGATCATTATTTTAGAAGCCTCAATCCAACACTTACAAGGACATCACCATTTTCCAGACTAAGCTATGGAAGAAAACTTCCTGCCAATATGTTGAGGTGTAGTGTTTGTGATACAACTGACTTCTTCTATGGAGATCCCACTCTCTCAGTCTGATAATATCTTGCTCCATGCTAAAAGCTGCACCCCTGCTGGGACTGCTCCTCAAAAACAGCCAGCAAGGCTGATCAAGGTCCTGCAGAGCCCTGTGGTGCCACACTCCACAGGGTTAAACAGCTACACAATGCTAAATGCTACACAACTGTCACAAGAAAGTCTTGCTCTGAACAAAAACCATTCTGTTTGTTGCACGCTCCTGTACTCAATGGCACAAAAACACCTTCTCAGCACCACTCTGTTTCTTCTAAAGTGTCTTCCAATTTCCCAGTCTTCCTGAAACCACATGTAGCTCTCTTCAACTCACCAGTCCCTCAAGTACAAACTTTTAAAAGATTTTTATAAGCTTAAAACTACTATTTTCCCCTTTCAAGCTCAACACAAGCTTTCCATGACAATCTCTCAAGAAAAATCCAAGCCATTTGAACGGGTTTACTTGCTGAATCTAGTAAAGCATCACTCCGCCTCCTCCACATGATGCTACAATAACCAAGGCAGCCCTAGTGCCCATCACACATCTAATTTAACTGGTATTCAGTTTCAATATGACCCTTGATCGACTGCCACGATCTCTAATGGTGGCAGCAGCCCCAGAGATGTGCGTGTCATAGCAAGCACGAATCAAAGCACCATTAAACCCTGCGAATTTGCCACAAGCCTTTCACCATAACTTGTAAAGATTCTCCATTTACTTATACTGTCCTCCCTACTGTTAGTATCTGCTAGGAGGCTGCAGGAACCACACCACCACACTATACAAGCTCCTAATGAGGCAGCAGTTCCTGATCTGATAAGGTTCGTAACAGGCGAGCAGCGCAGACAAGGTTACAGCATGGAGAACAGCTGCTTCCAGACATGGTTTGTTAAAAAAAAAAATCAGTACAAGCAGGGTCAGGGAAGGACTATTTCGTGTAAGCAAAACAAGCAAGAACAAGGAGCGAGCCAGTAAATTCCAGAGAAGCCAGCCCCAAACCCAGGGAATTTGAAGTGTTTCAGAAGGGTCTGAAGAGGAAACGTGCGCCCGCGGCTCTGCAGATTAACAGGGGGAAATAAAGCACCAGGGGAGCTGCAGGAAACTGCTCCCAAAGACCCACAGCATGCCAACAGCTGGGCTCTGCAGGCACCACAGCGATTCCCTCTGATGCTGGATAAGGGTGCCTGATTTCTTTTTCAGCCATGCCCCACCCAGGCTTCTCAGCTCCAATTAATGCCCCTTATTTGCAGGGCTGCGGGTCTGCTGAGGACTACCCGGCTTGGTGACCTGCTCTCTGGATGCTACTCTCAGCAGGACACTGCTTAACTTTCCAAAATAATACATCACAAGACACTGGGTTGGTAGGAAAGAGCAGCTCTCTATCAGTAAGGAGAAAGAGTCCTCCAAAGAGCCAAGCTGGTCTGAAGGCCCTGTTGGTGACCAAAAATGCATGGAAAATTCTCAGCTAATTAAGTGATCCCAGCAGCATATTGAGACTACCAGGTAATCTACAGCTTGTTTTTCCCCTTGGCTGGTTTTCACAGAACCAGAGCAGTGTTGCTCAGAAAGGAGGTGGGGAGGTCTCCTGTCCAGCCTCCCATCTGGAGCAGAGCTATCATGGATGTCTTCCCTCTCTTTGTGGAGGACAGCAATATATGACCACGCTGTCCCTTAGGCTGTGCTTGAATACAGTCCAGTTTAGTGGAGAAGCAGTCAGTCCCCCCCGTCTGTACACAGGGTTAGGCATCCCAAAAAGCCTGTTCTCAGAGTTTATCAACCGTATTAAACACTCAGACTGTATGGATAGGTATAAGCACACACCTGGCCTATCCTGCCTCGATGAGCTAATAACACGTCACTTCTCCCTTCTTTTTAGTCTCCTATCATCTTAGTCCGTACCTGCGTGAATGGAAATTAATCACAAACATTCAAGTGTTTTCAAGTGAGAAAGGGAGGCACTTTGAGTCTCTACTGCCAGCTGCTACACCTGTCTCTGAATTACAGATGAAGCACTTTCATGCTGCTCAGAGCACACATATTCAACTACTTACCAATTCAAACTACGAATTGTTATGAAATAAAGAAAGAAACACAACAAGGAGACCTCCAAACCACACTCATTGCAGTCAGAAGTAAAAATCAGTGATGCCCAAGCACGGTGTTTTGCTGAGCAGGTAGCTGCCTGGAAGGTGTGTCCCGCTCCAACCTGCAGCCCAGGACCTGCACACCACCAGGATGAAGCAATCCCTGCCTGTTGGGACATCTCTGGCTCAGAGAGGTCCATTTGGCTACGTGTGCTCTTTAAAAATCAACATCCCTGGAACAGGGAACACAAGCAAAGGAGGTCAGAATCACCTGCAAGTATTTCACCAATGCAAGATCATTACTACCATTCCCCTCAAACAGCAAAAAAACCACAATTAGCAAGAACTTAGCCAGTAAAGTAGGCAAAAACACCCCCACTGTCTATCTGCAAGCAACATCACAAGATCTACAATTAAGGTGTGCAGGCATGACCACACCGAGTTAAGACTGCAGGGGAAGGGCATGGTACTACCCACGGGGCACCCCTGAACTGAGAAGCCACCAAGAAGACAGCTGCCTGAGCCACTCAATCAAATCCCTCACCAGAACATACCCAGAGGCCACCTCTGCCATAAAGAGGTGTCCAAGGCTCTTGTCCTTAATTCAAAAAAGTCTTTCCTCCATGTGAGGCCACTTAGTGCACAGCAAGTCACGCTTCTTTAATTTAAGGAGCACACCCCTGAAGCTACTTCAGGTTTTTCTCCCACAACACAAAGTCCTCCAATTTAATGAGGGCAAAAGCGAGTCGGTGTTGGAGGGTGTGAACGTGCGAAGGCCAAACTAGAAGGAACACAAGAGAGAAGCAAATTGTCACCCTCCAAAGCCTTGTCTGCATCCGTACTTGCAGATCAGCACTCCCTTTCTCCATCGGATGAACAGGAAGGTCTTCTGAAGTGTTAGCCTGCTCCCTCCTATGGCTGTTCAGCTGGCCACAGCCCAATACGAGGCAGAGCAGAAGCATGGACCGACCACCACCTCACCACTTCATGTACCACCGTTAAGGGAATCCTTCTGGCAAGCTGTCACTGCTACCCACGGGGCTGTCAAATATAAAGTCCTGGAGAGGGGGCTAGAATGGGCTTTATTGCAACAGAATGATCTTCTATGCATTTAGCCCATTTCAAAAGCTTCTTGTCCACAGTAGGACTTCGATTTCTTTCTAAAAGGCATCTTTCCCTCCTTCCCCCAGATTAAAAAGAACATACAAAGATCTCACCTAGCACTAACTTCTTTGTGGGGGAGGCAAAAGTTCACTCATGAAAGAAAAAGGGAAGGGGAAGACTCAAAAACAGCCTTGGGAACCGTTGGGTGAGAGAAATGAGTTGTCCTTTAGTGGAGCTATGGTGGAAAAGCCACTGCTTCTGCAATGTCACCAAAGTGCCTAAGCCTGCAGTGAAGTGCAAACAGCTCTCCAAGGGCATGAGAAGCCCAACTGAAGGTGAAGTTCTTTCACCTGTTTTCACTGCTGGGAACAGCCCCCTCCTCATGGCAACGTTAAATTCCAACAAAACATGGAAACAACAACTCCCTTGTTAAACTGAATTATTAAATGACCTTATTATAAGACAGGCAGAGACAGGAGCAGTTTCTATGGACAACTGACCTGCTAAGACTTCCCCCTGTACCATACCTCATTAGGAGGTTGGTGCAGGCTACAAACCGCCGTGACCTCTTCTTCCCCTTGCAGCTAGCGACATTTGCTCTTTGAGACAGAGAGGTTATTGCCCTTTAACCTACCTGAGAAACCTTTTTTCCTCTCTATAACACAACGCCAAGATTCTGTGAATCCCTCTCACATTCATATAAATACGTATTAAGAAATCTACTCAGAAGTGCTCATGTTGAAATTTGTCTGCAACTCCTTTGTTTAAAGTTTGCTGGTGCTTTACAAAGGCTGTCTGCAGTAGAATTGCTCAAGTACAGCTCCTGAAATGTGAAATTAAAAAAAAACAAAACAAAACAAGACCAAACGAAAACAAGTCCTCTTAATATATCAGCAGGATAATGTCTGCATGGCTTTTTTTCTGCCTAAAAAGGACATTGTTTCTTACATAATTGTCAACAAATTCTTCCAGCATGGGATGACTCCTCCAATAAATAATAATATTCATTACAGCAGAGATGCACTCAGCAAGCTTCTCTGGGTGAACAAAAGAGATCAACCTGAAAAAAACATTGTTTGGCTGATCGCAAGTGTCACTGCTAAGATCACCATACCACATGTTTTTATTTTTTTTTCCTCCTCAAATGCCTCCTTTCCCCTTAGTATGAAAGCATCCAGGAAAATGTATTCCATTACTGAGCATTGTGAACTATTAAGCCAGCTAGCCATGGCAATATTGTTTGTCCACCAGAGAAGACTGATCATGGGCCATGCTGAGACCAAGACCCCAAGACTGCTGAAGTCATCTCCTGCTTTATAGAGTGAATTCAGTACTTGACATGTTAATAAATACCAACTTATTTTAATAAGTTTGTTTACATTTCAAGTAAACCAACAAACATTGGTAAAGTTCACTTCATCTCAGAATCACAGAATCAAACATTCTGTGAAAACAGTGCCAGCTTACAATTTGACATTGACTCAACTTAGGTAAAACAGTATCTGGAATGATTCTACTGATTTCTGCAACTCACTGATAAAAAAAACTACTCAAGCAGGAAACAGAAAATAACTATTAATATTTAACCCTTATCTCAAAATATCTTTTTGAAGTTACTTAACAAAAATAAAGAACTCCGTACTTAAAATAAATGATGTAAAATTACAAGAGCTCTTCACTTATGAAACCTGTAGTATAATCTATAACAAATAAAGTTTTTCATTGGACTGTGAGCCTGGTTACAGACCTGTAAATAAAAGACCAGTGACAAAGTCTATGATACTGCCAGCATCCCAGGGGAGATCTGCTGAGCCAGACTCAATTTTATCATAGAAACGGGCACCAGAGTAACTCAGAGACAAAAGTAAATTACTGTGGTTCTTCAGAAAAGAGGATACTATGGTTGCTAAAGTGAAAAACAAACATGCAATTAACATTTTGTACAAAATATGGGCTGGCAAATAAGCCGTATTTTCAAAGTAAGCATATCAGAGGTTTGGATTTCACCCTTCTGATAATAAATTGAGTACTGCTACAGAAAGAAAGGAAACTGAAGTTCAACAAAACTCTACAAGTAGAACAAGCAAGCTCTTACAGCTGTCCAAATCTGTGACTCTGGAAAAACTGCTTCCTTCCTACATATGAATCGACCAATAGCTCTTCCTCTCACATGAGTTTAAAATAGAAGTTTTCATGCTTTCATTGATCAAACAGTCCTAAGAGTGAGGGGAGCTGGGAGGAGTTTGATCAGCCAAACAGTGAATGTGCTCAACAAGGCTTTATCATGACTAGGTTATATTGTTTCCTGAATGTAAGTGGCAGAAAGAATGAATTAATTACAATACAGGGATACCAAATGAACTTGTTTGTTCTGACCAAGAGCAACCAAAATACATCATTCCGCTTTTCAGAACAACCAATTCTAACCAATTCTAATGCAAAGCTGATTACATTAATGTTGTACTTCATAACAGCCCATAGAGACCAAGCAAATCAATACTTTGGTCTCTTTTGAATACCATTTTATCTGAGGTCTAGGAAGAAAGCACAAGTTGCTAATAATTAGATATGGCCTTTACTAATAAAATTACATTAAACTTCAAATGTTAGATTTTGAGATAAAGGCATAGCTTCATGGTGGCAGAGGTACAGGAAGGTACCAAAAATAGTTGAACATGTCTTTATGAGCTAGAAGCTTCTTGTTTTATGTAACAACCACAGAGCACAACATTTTGACGATTTGGCATGTTTTTAACTTATTTTTACTTCACTTATTTGTAAGTCCAAATGGCTGACAGTTTCTAGAAGTGACATTAAATGAAATGCAGCTATGAACGTAGGAAAAATAGGAGATACAATCGTCAAAGTGAAAATCTGAAGAACCTTCTCTTTTTAAATACAGGTTAAAAAAAAAAAACTATCATACTGCATTAATGGAATTTTTATTCAATACACAGCTCTTCTATTCGATGTGGAAGCAGACAAACATATCCCTTAAAGAAAAAAAAAAACAAATCCAAACAACACAGTATTTCTCTACTGCTTTAGAATTGATGAACATGCTCCCATTTCTCCTAGACTTTGTTAAAAAAAAAATAAAAATTAAAAATTACCAGCAGGAACCCTTAGAAGAGTGCCTTGTCGGGAAAGGCCAGCCTGACCACTTGCTATTTCAGTTCTTCCAGCAATGTCTTATTTGCGTGCAATGAATAATCAGATGCCAGATAACACTGCAGCACGGCATAGGGAATAAATACTACCCACAGGCTGGGGTGGAACAGCAGCACACAAGCCCAATCTGTCTTTGCACGTGTTTAAATTACACCTTCTTAAAAGCTTAACACTTTGGCTGGATTCCACATATCAACCTTACTGCTAGAAAAGTTGCAAACAACAACAAAAAAATCATCATTATAAAAAAAAAAAAAATGCTGTAAGACAGGCTTCCATCAGCAAAGAGCTTCCACACCGCTCTTTATTTCAACAGAGATGATTAGTTAAGGTGCTATCAGGTTCTGCACTGCAGACAGGTTGGCAGAGGTGGCCGTTTAATAAGCTCTTAACAGTCTTTAGCAGGTATCTGAGAGCAGTTCCTGAGGCAGAACTGCTAGTTCCTGTAGCGGGGCATCTGTGGAGCAGGGGCTCCCTCTAAGGGGACTGCAGAGGAGACACTCATAAGCTGCCCAGCATGCATTCTCTCATTCACCCGCAGCTCACAGCCATCCTGCAGCATCCTGATAGCTATCCTTGCAATGTTTTTAGAGTCATCAAGGCCGCTGTGAGGTCTCCCATCGTAACTCATGCCCAGCTTTTCAAGCATGATGGTCAGCTTGGTCTGGTTCCTAGGAACCTGATGGAGAAAGCGAACCACATTCAAGGATTAGGTTCTGTACCGAGTCTTTTTTAATCTAACACAGGGCAGTAGAAACATATGCACATTTTTAAGCCTACTTACGTCACATCCCACTTTCATGTTGCCTTTTGTCAGGTCACTAACAATTCAACTTCAAAGCACCTTGGTGAGACAGACACTCTCATTTTTTTACGGAAGACACACAGTCAACGGGAGCTTGTCTAGACTTAGGATAATCTCAAGCACCAGGTCAGGATGTGCCAGCAACAGTGGACACCATGCTTAGCTAGGTTTAACAAGCCTTAGAAAAAAGGAACTACCACCCAAAGTGGCATTGCAGAGGGAATCAAATTTTGTTTTTCCTTTAAAATACTAGGCGACTGAAGAAGCATCAGGCCCCTGATTCTCCCTGGCATCAAGCTTCTGAATATTTCCAAACACCACAGGAACAGATCAGCAACACCTACAGCAGCCCATATTTTACATGGAGGACAGCATGAACAGACAAGGAAGCCTAACTGACTCACCCATGCAAAGTGCTACATCAGCAAAAGCATAAGTCCTTTCTTGATTAACTACTAAATATATGTTTGTTCTTTGGAAAAGTCAAAGAAAAACAAAAGGGTAACTTTAAAGGAAAATTTTAGTTTGCTGTCTGTCTTGGTTGGTGGTGGTTGGGGTGGGGGAACACAGGACATGACAAGTTCCAGGATATTGCACCATCCTACTGGATTTAATAGCTAGACAGAATGGTGACAACACAGTTGCCAAAATCTGGCAATATGCAACTCCAATAATAACATCCACAAACTGGGCAGGGGAGACATACTTGCAGGCTGTGGGATATCCCACAGGAAAGTTACAATGTGTTCTTTGTCGTTAATTTTATCTATTGCTTAACAACAGATTCAACAGCAGCACAACATAGCTACACAGAAGCACTGCACAACCATTAAGTGCTACAACTGTTTGCATTTATGAAGAAAAATAACCACAAAATGTAAAAAGAAACTGATTCCAAGTTAGAATCTTCATTGCCTTTGATGAAAAATCACTCACTGCTGGAGAGAGAAGGAAAAGGAAGGTATGTCTAGGTTGAAGCTGATAGGACTAACGAGACCGCTGTGTTCTAGTGTGTTTCCAACGGAAACGGCCATGCAGAGAAGGCACAATCATAGAGGCAGAAATGCAGTAACTCTGTAATATTTGCCTAGCACAAAGTAAAGCTCTTCACTTATTAAATGCTAACCTCTTCTTTTCCCCTAGAGGTTACATTTAGCATGAAAAAGCACTTCAAGAGAAGATTGTCAGCTAGGCTGAAATCATATTCAAACAAATGCTTTAGTGTAGACTGACTAGGAATTTGCTAGAATTTCCAATAACCCATTTCATGGTAATCTGACAGTGAAACAAAGCAGCAATGAGGTCTGGCACTGAACTTGGTATAACTTTTGTCTTGACAACTTGATTCTGTTGTAGATACATCTTAATCTTTCTCTGTCCCCATTACACTGTGAAAAGTGGAGATATCTGCAGACAGTACAAATTAGTTTTGTAGTGTATTACATGAAAACAGAAAAAAATAAATGAAAAAACAATACAGAATCTTTTCATCTGACCTACTTCAAGACACACTTGATCTAAGAGCACTGGTATGACATTTTTAGACAGTCCCTCACAGAGCATCTCTTGATTCTTAAAAACAAGACTAAAATCAGAATGCAGGAGATTATATCTAATCTTCAATCTAATCTAATCTTCAATTAGTAAAGTGAGATCTAGGCACAAAGCACATTTGAAAATCCGGCCCCAGGCAACTAGTTTAAGTACTATGATTTTATACTACACAAGTAAAGATTACAAACACAACAGGATATGCTAGACTTTTAAACTAAATTTTCCCGCAACAGAAACAGCAATCTATACAAACCTTATAGAAGTTCCCATATGATTTGCGAATATTGATCCACTTTTTGGCAAAAGAAGGGTATTTGATACGGCTAACACGGCACTGGGTATTCAAAAATTTACTCATATCCCAAGATCTTAAAAAGTCAAAAGAGAAAAAGACAACATTAGTAATATATAACTCAGATGCCCCATGTTCTACATATTGCACAGGTGTAGCACAAAAAGCTGTCTTTCCTCTGGTGGTCATTAGAAGAAAAACACTTTAGGAAAAGTTCTTTTGCTATGGTCATGGTAAAGAATTTTTTTAATATTAATTTTTTAATCATGGGGAAAACAAATAATGACATGAGCAAGATTTTCACTAGGATTGATTCGCGTCCAGGACAGTTAAAATAAAAAACAGCATGCCAACTTCTCCACCTACCACATCTACTTACTCCAAAACCTGCCAATAACCAAGACGCTTACACAGCTCTTAGGGAAACAAATGACACCTTAAATTTTCCTTATTACTTGGGTATGCATGCATCTCTCTAACACAGGTTACCGAAACAAGACTGCATTTAGTTTTAGGAGAACCAGACCTTTATGGAAATAACACGAAACTATAACGCTATGCACTTCTAGCAGCCTTCCTGAACGAAACCACTCAAACGAGTTTGTAAGCTTCAAGCTAAAATAAAGTCTTTTTTCCCCTCTCTTGCATCTGTCTACATAATCTCACCCATATGACAGAGAGATTTCGCTGCACCTATTTTCCTTGAGGAATTTTACTGAGAAGATTCCAGACACATCCTAAGCCAAGTAGCATAACTATTCACTAGTCTGCTTTAGCATTTTCTTTTTTAATTCACTGTTGCTTCCAAAGATCGAAACCTAACCATAGGTAAAAAATTAGTCAAATAGCAGTACTTACCACAGTTTCTTAAATTAAAGTTGGAATGATATTATTTTAACTCTTTATTTTTAAGGTGTACACAGATCTAAACCGTACACCTCAAGTCTTGTGTGAGAGCTTTTAAATGGCTTCACTGTTGACACTGGACACAGACACATTTTAATGATATGGGTTCTTCACCAGAAAAGACCTGATTTGTAGTTGTGGTCCAAATCTTCTGGAATTTTGAGAAAACAGTCTTATGCCCAAAAAAATTTTCCCACTTGCTACGTTGGATTAGTGAAGAAAAGCTCTTGTTATGTACCCATTCATGTCCTATAATACATTATCTTTTCAAACCACTCATATTATAGACTAGAGTATGTATCTGCCTTTTACTTGACAGAAGTATTAGGAAGTTGCATTAAGGTCCCCTGTGCTCTTTTTTCACAAACTCTGGTTTTGTTGCGAGGTTTGTCTCTCTTTGGTACAACACAATGATTGTAACAGAGTGGCACAGGACAGACTTTTTAATCCAGCACAGCAGAAGACTTACTCCAGGCAAACAACAGGTACAGCAATATGAAAATGTATCCTTCACTGCAACAAGGCTAATGTTAAAATCTCTCTGTGCTACTTAAACCCCTCATTCCAAGAGAAGCAGGAAAGCAGACCCGTTAACAGAATAGTGATGTTTCACAGCTAAAAAGCAAGCATCACCTACAGAAAAGTTCCCTGGCCAGTGTTAGATAAGGTAAGGCTCAAACAGTATCTTTCATCATATAACAAAGCTAAGATCACAAGAACAAACTTGCACCACAGACAGATCTAGATCTCAAGATCTGTTCACTTTGCAGACTTGATTTTCCCACAAAGACCTTGTGAGAGTGCAAGCTCAGGTGGCAGTTCAAGAACTAGTCACTCCATCACACACAAAGCTTCTCAGAGCTGGGACCCACCAGAGCCACAGTCCTCTAAGCCAAAGCAGAGAGCTTTCTGTGCTAGCCATTTCTCTGTCTTCGATAAACAGCATAATCCATTACTGCTTTCTGGTGAAATATGCAGGATGTGTTAACAGCAACATTAACACACATAGAATACAACGCAACCTCCACACGTCTCTGAAACCTCAGATTCAGGAGAGCATGGGAGTTGCTTAGAACTGAAATTGCACAACGTGATTTTCAGTTATTTTGTGCTATATGAAATCTAGATGTAAACAGAAAAGGATAAAAAGTAGACTCAACACAATTTGGTTGAAGTTTTAGGAAAGAAACAGTGCCATCTAGTGGGTTTAAGCTTCATTTCAAATTGTTAAGCTTTTCTGATTTTTCCCAAAAGGCAAAATTATAATAAAATGGCAAAATGGCAGAGTCATAATCCACCTTTAACAATACTCTCACAAAGATTAAACACTGTTTTGCAGTTTTAGATTGTGCTGAAGGTTGCATAAGGACATACCCATCTGTCAACATGCAGTAGCTATACTTTGTCCCCAGTTCTCGCTGTCTCATCCACTCTACAACATTCTGCAGAACCTGAGGAAATGTATCAGCTTTATCAACAATGTCCTAAAAGAAACAAAAAACAAGAGAAGGAACATTTTTTCGGAAAAAAAAAAAAAAAAAAAAAAAACCCAACCAAAAAACCAAACCAGCATAAAGTATAAGAATTATATTGGTATACAGGCAGTCATTAAATCACACGCTAAATGGGCTTCACAAATACCTTTAGAAACAGATTACACCTTAAAATATGAAGAAAATCGGTCAGATTTTTCTAAACTGATACAAAGCACCACAAAAGCACCACTAAAAAGCTCCAGGTGGCATCTATAAAGGTAACAAGGTTAGTCAGCTGTTGAAGTTTAAAACCTTGGAACTTGTTTCCTGTGCTCCAGCTGAAGTCACTTGATCAGAAGCCATTGCCAGTATTAAGACTCTAAACCCTTTAGAATAAAAATCTTAGAAGAGGAACTGATGCAATTCAAAAGGTGTTTTCCTCTGTTAAAGATTAAATTTCCATACATGGATTACAAAGTGAAGGCTTCTCCCTACAGCCCCTTACAAACACCTAAATGACCAACTTAGGGAAACCAATTCTGTGAAAATTGGGGTGGGGGGAAGAAGAGGGAGGGAAACAAGGATTAAGAGAATAAGCCTTACAGAAAAATTACAATGAAAGATTACCAGTCTGAAAACATCAACGCCACATCTGTTTTTCCTTATTTTTTTTCCTGAAGAAAAGAAAGTGCAAATTACCTGGGTGATTCCTGTCAGATTGATGCAGAAGTTTGAAAGTTTGGGATTAATCTCTGGCTTCACATATTGCTGAAAGGTATCCTCCTGTAATAAGAGAATCAAACACTCAGGAGCAGTACACCATGTAGCCTGCAAGGTACCTTCTCTGGCTTCCCCATAGCCAAAGGCAATAGTGGCTACTTGTCCTGCTGGAGGCAAAAGACCAATATGAGCCTCCTGTCTGGCTATCATGAGATTCCCAGTGGCACAGACAGACAGCTTTCCAACCAGAACACGTCCTTCCTCTCAGCCAGCAGGCACCAGAGGGAAGGGATGTGGATGTAAGAGAGGAGAAGGACAGACTGCAATAAAGGGGAGGATTTGGGCAGTATCTCTGAAGGCTCACCTGTAATTCAAGGAAGGCAACCAGCTGCACATCTCAGAAGCTGCACTCAAGTCATACACCTCTGGATGCCAGCCAGAGAGAAACACAATGACCTCACTCTGGGAAACTAAGCAGTATGAAAAGAAAGCCCCAAATTCCTGCTGCTATAGAAAACCTTTTCAACAGAGGGGAAAACACGCTGTTTCCTACTACTCTAAGGGTAATAAAGCAGTCATGGTACACAATCCTCTTTCTGCAGTTAGTCATATATGCAGCTATGTTCTAATGTAGTACCACAGTAACTACTGGAAATCCTCCTCCTTCTCTTAAAAGTTCTTGATAAATGAGCCATTAGTCAGAGGTGCGTGCACTTCCTCCGCTCCACTGAGTCACTCAGTTTCAGTTAGACAGCAAGTAAGTTTTCCTAAGAGAAAGCTGTACTGCAACAGAGCACTTGAGGCTGCCAAACGCCTACTAAATATGTTTAAAATCAGGTTACACAGCTGTCAATCTGTCGGGTACATTATGGAAATAGTCTAGCTCACCAAGAAGCAGAGTCCACTCAACCCCACTTTCTAGACCTCTGCATTTATCTCTTCTATAAGGCCTCATGCAGGATTTGCTAATTCTTGTTTATGATTGAATCCCTTGAATCCTAGAAATAGCTTTGTGGATCTTAACGCCGGGAAAGAACAGCAGGGGGGGGAGGACAACTGAGAAACTGAAAGTCCCTTGTATCAGTAGAGGGAGTCAGCAGCAGGAGCATGATCTATTCCAGATGCTTTAGGAGTAGAAAGAAAGTTTTGTTTGTATGTAAGAGGCACAGAGGATAGGTCTTTACTGAAAAAAAAAAAGAAAGTTATTTTTAATGAAGTTCAACATCTACCTAAAAACTAATCTAGACTTTCTGAAGCAAAGAGGTTACACTGAAGAACAGCAGACTGGGAGTGTAATTAGAACACTTACGATTTCCAGGGTATGCGTGTTTAGTAAGACAATTGGAAACTCAATTATTTCATGTGTGAATTCAGGTGGGTTTCCCTCTTCACATGTTGCTTCAAAGTCAACAACGCAGATGTAGTCATAGCAGCTGTTTCCATTAATGGGCTCCTTCTGCATCAGCTTCTGTTTCTTGTAATAGTTTTTCAGTCTCTTTTTCAGCACATCTTTCACTCCTCTAAAGAGATAGGGAAAGTGACAAAGATCACACTCTCATTTAATTAATTATTTCACCATGGCAGAACTGCAGCTGTACTTAATATTTGAAAGTTTGTCATTTATTAACCTCATTTTGAACAGTACTGCTTCACTCGTGTTTCTCTGTGTCCTTTGCCTGAAGCCACTGATGCCCAAGGTATTTCTGCATCAGTGGCATAGATAATGCAGGATCCAGCTAAAACGCCCATTTTAAATTTGTCTCAATTTAAATTTAAAATTAAGCTTGAGTAACTCAATTAAAATAAAGTAGTTGAGATTTAACCTGTCAGAAAAACTTCCTGGTCAAGAACCTGCTTTTCAGGAGGTTTGTGGCTAACACATAAATTAACAGTGGCAAGTGATTAAAGTTACTTACTGAGTCTTTTTAATACAAACATTATAATATGCAAGTGCCAGAACTGCCACATACCAAGACAGCGCTGAGCAAACAAGGATAATTTACTTTTCGAATGAAGTTATTTTTAAAATTACATATTGCAAATGAAATCACAGAAGCTGTAAGAGCTAGTTGTAGCAAGTGGTGTTATCAGAAAAGAAGCCCACTGATCCACAAGGAAAAACTAGAATCAGGCTACTAAACCTGCATTCGAGAACATCAGCTGCTTCTCCAAACAGAGATAACTCTTTTCCACAACGGTTTATTAATCTAGTCTAATTCAATGACCAGTTCATTCAAAGTTGAGACAGTATGGGAGCCCATGGAGGGGAAAATTACCTTTTTCTTCATGAAACCGATAAAAGAATTTAAAAGAGGAGATGACCTTCTATCACAATAATCCCAAGGGAAAGAATCTTGTGTGACAGTCTGCTCAGTTCACTACATTAGAGGTGATACACTACTTGTTTACATGTAAGACATATTCTGACCAATTGAATACATTGGCAAAAGAAGTCTAGCCTAGCTAAAAGAAAAGTTTAAAGCTTTCTACATTTACAACTGAATAAAAAACACAAACAGAAAATTATAACCTAGGAAGAAATCACAAACACACCATTCACCATTTGAATTCTGTTTTTTATTTTTAAAGCAGCATAACTGCTGAATAGGTGTACAAATCTAACCTCTTTCACCAAAAATTTGATCAGGTAATGATAAAATTTTTTCCTCCTGAGAAGCTAAAGTCATTTAGCTAAAGGAGGAATTAAAAAAACTACGCAGCTAGAACATCTGCAGACAGACAGAGTGGAGGTGGCAGACTGCACTTCCCACCCACACCATTTTCTTTTATTCTGTTCAAAAGAATCTCTGTTCCTTTCCCTCCCCCCCCTCCTCTAAACATCCTCTCCCCAAGAAAGCCAGACTTCTCCTTTCAGACTCCATCTCACCTTTCATATTCCCCTCTTCCCCCAGAGCAGTAGCTTCTCGCCTTGCTAACTCAACACCACCACCACCACTTCCTCATTACTGCTACCAGTAGAAGCAATGCCCTTTGTTCTTCTCAGTTGACCACCTTCTCAACATCTCAAATTTGTCTGGCCACAGCAATATCAAAAGGTCTTGCAGGTCATTTCTAACAGAGCAGGAACCACCCTCTATATTCCTAGCTCCTTCCTCCTCCTCAGTGAGCACAAATCCAGTTTTAAATAATGTGAATAAGTGAATGTATTATAGCTCATCTATTCAGATTAACAAATTCTCCATCCTGTACCCTACCTGTCTCCTGCACTGATTAAATTCCGAGACCTTTCACCACGGAGGTTTTAGCCAATATCAGATCTGTACTGGGTAAATAAAAATACATATGTTCTGAAGTTTCTGAGTTTCTCTACACTAAAGGCCTGCAACATCACCTGATGTTTGCAGTTCTTTCCCCCTTGACCAAAAACGTGTGAAGTACCCTACATATTATTTCATTTCTCTGTGTTCCCAGTTGAGATAGCACACACTTCTGATAACAAATTAAGCAGTATCACATGTACTAATCCTACAACAAAAGCTGCATCAAGATTGCACATAAAAAACCTGGTGTTTGGTGGCGTGTCTGCTTTGAGCTTTGTGTGGTGTGTTTTTAAACTTCAAAATAATCGTTCCTTACGGCTCTACCGCTCTCAAAAATAAAGCAAAAGGTTCACGAATCAGCCTAACCTGGTTTCAAGCTTGAACTCTGCAAGTTTACTTCTGAGCTCCTCTCTGGTCATTCTGTTGATGTAACCATTGGTCATAGCAATTTCTTTGTAAACTGGATCACTGAAGTCATTTGAACTGGCAGTTGAGATCTTCCCATTAGTTTCTCCATCACTGATCCTACAATGCTGCCTACCCTGGAAGAAAGAGAAATACTGAGGTCATTTAAGGTCACAAGCAGCAACCAGAGCGCTGAAATTTACACGTCATGTTGGCACCAAAATGCAGTAAAGCATTGTGGTTTCACTCAAGATCAAACTGAGTGAAGTAGCTTATGGACAGTTAAGAAAATCGATACCGAGGGGCTGCTCTGAAACACCATTTTCCTAAAAAAAAAAAATCGACAGAGAGAGTAAGGGGGTACTAACGCAGGTGTCTGAGGCCGTGCCAAACAGCAGCCCTGAGAGACAAAACCTCATTTCAACACAAAACGTTAGTTCTCGGGTATGAACTGGCAAAACCTCGACCAGCATCAAGAGATTTCTCCCCACAGCTCAGTTCACCAGAGTCTGTACCCACTGAGCCACGCTGCGGGACACCGACTACGTCTAAAAGAAATAAAGCAATAAATTAAGAGTTAAGAACTAACGGCACTTCGGCTCTACACGGCTCCTGGCAGCCTTTGTGGGGCGAGCACACGGCGGGGCCGGCCTCCCCCGGGCCCCCCACCGCCGCCGGCACCTGGGGCGCAGACGGAAGGGCCCGTGGCACCGCAGGCGCCCTCTCGGTAAGGCGGCACCGGGGGAGGCCGCACCGCAGCGGCCTGGCCCCGGGAACGGCCTGGGGAAAAGCGAGGCCTGAGGCGGGCGGGCAGCGGGGCCGCCATGGGCGCGCCGCGGGGCGGCCTCTGCGCATGCGCGGGGGGTAACGGCGGGCCGGGGGCGCCGGCGCATGCCCGGGGCGGCC